AGTTTCCTCTTGGGCATCCCACACCGATTTTGGGATCGCATTATACTAACATGTCTACTCTTTCAGGCACCTTTGCCACCCGCTTCCCAACCCAACGATGGGCACGCTCTTGCTTAAACGATTTTTTTTTAGCCGCAGGTCAATCTCCACCTTGTAATAATCTTGTATATTACTGTCCTTCGCAAAGCAGAAGTACGCCCGAATTAGTTGATGATATGAAATGGACAAAAGCATAGGGTTCTTTCGATGTTCCGGAGCATGGCAGGCAGCATTTTCTCTGGTTCCCCCCTCAATTTACTTGGCAAAAACCTCAGCAACTAGAGGAGTGCTAGATACTCTTCGTTTCGTGACGTTCAGTACATCAACTCCAGTGGTTGTTAAGACGTGCTCCTGGACGGCAGTGATGGCCATCCTACATCAGTGACAAAACGTCCAATACAATCTGAAGCAGGTCTAGTTGAAAATCAGTCCTGCTCTCAATCTTGGCCGTCAAAATTGAAAGTTGTACCAAGCCATGTCGACCGTGCATTGTGCAAATGCTTATTCAGTGGGTCGTCGACGGCGCTCTGGTGTTCTGGGCTGAAGAATCCCTCTTGCGCATCTGCAATTAAGAGGCCTCTCTGTGGTTAGTTTATCAAACTGTTTCAGTAGCAAATTGAATCGAGATGCAGATTCTTCCTTGTTGAAAGGAGTCACCAGTTGTCGCAATTCCAAGAATGGTTCAACCGTGCGGCCAAAGCATTGCGTCTAGAACTCTACGGCCTTTTACTCCCTTGGTCGTCCACGCATGCTCTCTCCGTTTCAGCTCTTTCAACTATGAGTCAATTCTGAAACGGAGAGAGTGCGTGTAAAGGGCAAGCTATCATGTGTTGGGATCTGACAGGATGCCCCAGTTTCTCCTCAACAGCTCGAGTTCTTAGCAGCAATGATGCGGTATTCGGTTTCCTGTCAAGGATTCTTCCAGCCAACTCCTCCATCCAAGTGCCGGCACTGGCGTATCTTTTGTCGATCGCAATTCCCGTTCCAAAGGGGCGCTCAGTAATGCTAGCCACAGCGACGGGCTAAGAAAGCAACTTGAAGGGGAAAATAAATGTAGGTTAATACCTTTAGTTTTCGACCTGAATCAATATCAGGTATAAAGGATGAGAGAAAAGGAACAATTTTCCTTCCACGGTCATCCTTGCTCTTGATCCTCATGTGCACCTTGATGAGAGACTGGGGGACGTTTTATGTAGATGGTACTTTAAGCCAACTAGCTCTCTCACAACTCTTAATGTTCAGGGGTCGATGCAAGTGACTTATGTATCAAGGCTATTTTAGATGGCCTCTGTCAGTGGACGCATAAAGGACGAACTAACGAGCGATCGGCAATGCAGAAATAAACCAGATCACATTTGCTTTTAGCACGGAGAAATGCCTCCAGGTAATGTAGCAGTAGCACCAACACAGAGTTGCAGCGCACACCGCAGTGTGCCATGCCCACTCGCGTTTACAGACAATCCCCGCCACGGCACAAGTCCTTTTTTGAACTGAAGCGGCAGATAAAGATAAGCAAGATTGACTCTCCTTACTCCCAGATGATTCAGGCGGTGATGATTGGTCCGACGCAGGATGTGTCAGATGCCAAGAGATGCAACCTAAGCTTGACCTTCCCCTCCGGGAGCAGGATCCATGCTTCCCCATACTCTAAACCGTATTGTGATGACCTTCATAACCCTCCTTATACTGGAAGCTTGGTATGGATTGGGGAACCCATCGAACACGCTCACTTGGCGTGCATGGATAAATGGATAAGCCCGGTTTCAGCGAGAACTTTTGCTCGATACACTATATCAGCGTCCGAGCCTCCCATGTCGCGCCGGCGATGTTGCGAGGCTTGTCGGGAACCCCGCCCTTGCCCTGCCATTCTTGATAGGAACCATTGTGTCCTTGGGCCTGTCGCGCATAGATTGTTGGTGCAACTAGCAACCCAAGTGCCAAGGAGGAGTGTAGGGGTAGGGGGGAAAGTAGAGTATATAAACGAGACTTGTTCCCACGGGAAAGCTTCCTCGTTCCAGTCAAGTTGCCATCCCTTGACCCAGGATCAACCTCTCCCGATCATCCCCATTCGTCGGTGCCTTCATCAGGGTTGTCTCGGTCCATTTCCAATAACATCCTTTCTCCTGTATACCTCTCGCCCCCCATAGGCTCTGTTGGCTGCTCCGTAAACAACCATGCGTTTGGTCACTCTCTCAGGTGCGGCACTAGGCCTTGCCTCGGTGGTCGCCGGAAAGGAACTCCCCAAAGATGAGTTCAGAGCTGCTGGTAAGACCCTTCCTCCCTTCTCTTATGTTGTATCACCGAAAGCGGTAGTTCTGACAGTCCACGCAGAGTTGTATGACAGTGGCGCTGTCCATATGGAGAGCATGGAGAGGAAGAAGGCCTTGTGGATGGCTGAATTCGATGCTGGTTTGCTCAACTCGACCAAATGGCCACGTCTAAACTACACCCCGTGTGTCAATGGCAAGGCCGAGGCCGTCAAGGGTGATCCTCTCCTCACCTTCAGCTGCAGGAACATTGACCTCTACGACTTCATCAACCATGCTACCCTTGGATCACCCGACGGCTGGGATGAGCTAGGTGATGGTCTCTTGCTGACCGGCAGCTCGTCTTGGGGTTGGACCGACCCGGAGTCGAAGCGTGAGTTTGTCGCCAGCGGCATGTATGAGGGCACGGCTTTCATTGAGATCCTGCCCGAAGGCCGAATGCTTCACCTCGGAATCCTGTAAGGAGCCACTGCTTCATCATTGATTAGAAACTGTTTACTGATGCTCTCACAGGCCTTGCCCTGCTCCCACAGACCCAAACGCCTTCTGGAAGGAGATCCGTAGTTACAACAACTACATGCTGATTGGGTCTGAGCTAAAAGATCACGGTATCCAAATCTTCGACATGACAAAGGTAGAACTAGTCTCTCTCGCCCCTGCAAATTCTCTTTTCAGATTGTTAACACAGCCATGACAGCTTCTTAACCTCGATCAAAGCAAGCTGCCCATCACTTTTGACATTGTGAAGGATGTCGCCGGTCACTTCAAGGATCTGCCCATTGGCGCCAGCCACAACGTTGTTTCCAACCCAGAGGGCCAGTACGCCGTCGCAGTTGGTTCGCGTCCTCGCAACGACTCGTGCCGTGCTGGCCTCATCTTCATCGATATGAAGGACCCGACCAAGCCCACCAGAATTGGCTGCAACGGGGAGGATGGTTACGTCCACGACGCTCAGTGCCTCACGTATCGTGGTCCTGATGAGAAGTATGTCGGCAAAGACATCTGCTACGGATACAACGAAGATACCCTCACCATCTATGATGTGACGGATAAGACCAAGTCTTCCATCATCTCCATTACTTCTTACGAGGGTGCGACCTATACTCACCAAGGATGGCTGTTGGATCCCGAGTGGCAGCAGTATCTGTTGATGGATGATGAGCTTGATGAAGTCGACGCTGTTGGCCCAGCTGCAGAGTAAGCTCTACCCATGTTGGATCCCTTTCCGGACTAGAAAGCATTCTAACGTGGACTTTAGTGGCTATCCCGTTACCTACATCTGGGACGTAAGTTCATTGGAGGCTCCCAAGCAGACAGGTCTCTACAAGGGTAAGTGTTTTCTCGTAATGGTTCTCATCCTCGCAGTGACAGATGTGTAACAAGCGGCCAGGTACCGTAAAGACAGTCGACCACAACCAGTACATCAAGGACGGCCTCTCCTACCAGTCCAGCTACGTCGCCGGTCTCCGCGTCTACGACATCTCCTCCATCCCCGAGGACCCCACTGGCCGCAGCACCTGCGAGGTCGCCTACTTCGACATCCACCCCGAGGACGACGCCCTCCCGGGAGGCGGAGAGGTCTCCATGTACGGCTCGTGGTCCTCGTACGCCATGTTCGAGTCCGGGTTCATCTTCATCAACACCATCGAGCGCGGCGGCTACCTGGTCAAGATGACCAAGCGCGACGGCTGCCCCAAGAAGAGCTGTAACGCGGACAACTGCCTCCGCGCCATGCGCGCGTCGTCCGTCGAGGGCCGCCTCGGGGAGAGCCAGGAGTTCTGCTCCGGTTTCACCCAGGGCTTCAAGGCTGATGTGAGCGTTGTTCCCAAGTATGCGTCGGAGGCCTGCGGAGACAATGTGATTGCTCGCGTTAGTTCTGCTTGCGCATGTCTGCCAGCTGCCACTCCAGCTCCGTAAGTAGGGAAGTCGTGACGGGGAGGTAGTAGCTTGATTATGAGCCTGTCTATATTCTGGATCAAGATTCAAATAAAGAGTTACGTATGAACTAGAATGAAAGGGTTCCATAGAGAATGTTGTGACGCCACAAGTAGACATTTAAAAGTACGCGGCCGCCGAGCAGAATAGTCTGTACCAATTCTCTCTCTGAATAAGTCCTGAATAAACAGATACTCACTCATTATCGCCTGTAGATTATCATCGTGAATTTGAGCTGTTCCCAGTATGCCAACTCATCCCGGAGTGTTGGAAGGAGCTCCAGGCAAGCAATTGGGATCCAAGTTCCATGAATGAGTCAACTCACCTTACTATTCGGCTTAACGCAGTGTTCTTGGACTACTTCTAATATCGAGCACTCGTTCGTGTCAAGAAAGGTGCAGTTTCAACATGGGATGCTGCAGCCAACCAGGATCAGCACAAATCCATTTAGCGGCCAGGAACCAAGTCACCGATGTCGCTGGCCGCCGCTGTACAAATACCCACCACCGCACTGGCGCACTATAGCCATGCAGGTACTGGATACTTGCCGCCCACTTGGCGTGCAACCCTCCCTGACTCCCAGGGCCCGATCGGCGGTGACCCCTCCAAACGGTGACTGTGTGGTCAATTGGCGGCGAAGGCTTCAGCTAGAGGCGGAAAAAAAAAAACAATTCCTCCTCCAAACCAGCCTCAGATCATCCAATTGCTGTAGCACTGCATGCTTGGCTTCGAAGCAGACGCCAGCTGTCGATTGTTACAATGACGCAGCCCTCTGCAGCCGGGCCAACCCGCCTCTCCATTCTCGGCGAGCCCAACATCGTCGTCGACCACGACCTCTGGCTGAACTTCGTCACCCAGGATCTGCTCGACAACATCTCCTCCTCCACCTACGTCCTCATCACCGATACCAACCTCTTCGACAAATATGTCCCTGCTTTCCAGCAACGATTCGAGGCCGCCGCCGCCGAAAAGTCCGCCCGCCTGTTGACCTATGCCATTGCCCCCGGTGAGGCGTCCAAGTCCAGGGAGACCAAGGCCGAGCTCGAGGACTGGATGCTCTCCCACCAATGCACCCGCGATACCGTCATCATTGCCCTCGGCGGCGGTGTCATTGGTGACATGATTGGGTATGTGGCAGCGACATTCATGCGAGGTGTGCGCTTCGTCCAGGTTCCCACCACCCTGCTCGCCATGGTCGACTCTTCCATTGGCGGCAAAACCGCCATTGATACCCCCATGGGCAAGAATCTTGTCGGGTCCTTCTGGCAGCCTCGCCGTATTTACATCGATCTCAACTTTCTCGAGACACTGCCACCCCGCGAGTTCATCAATGGAATGGCAGAGGTTGTCAAGACCGCCGCCATCTGGGATGAAGCAGAGTTCACCACTCTAGAGCAGTCTGCCCCTCAGATTCTGTCTGCCGTCCGCTCCAAGGGGGCTGATCGCCTCAAGCCAATCCGCGATGCCCTCAAGCGCATCGTCCTCGGCTCGGCGCGAGTCAAGGCAGAGGTCGTCTCAAGCGACGAGCGTGAGGGTGGCCTCCGTAACTTGCTCAACTTCGGTCACTCAATTGGCCACGCTATCGAGGCCATCCTAACTCCACAGCTCCTCCACGGCGAGGCCGTAGCAATTGGAATGGTCAAGGAGGCAGAGCTTGCCCGTTTCCTCGGCGTGTTGAAGCCTGGCGCCGTATCCAGACTCACCAAGTGCATCGCCAGCTACGATCTGCCAACTTCGCTCAATGACAAGCGCGTCATCAAGCTCACTGCCGGCAAACAATGCCCTGTCGATGTCATGCTCGAGAAGATGGCAGTCGATAAGAAGAACGACGGAAAGAAGAAGAAGATTGTCCTGCTTTCCGAGATCGGAAAGACTTATGAGCCCAAGGCCAGTGTGGTAGAGGACCGAAATATCAGAATTGTTCTATCATCCTGTGTTCGTGTCAACCCAGGAGTTCCATCAGGGCTGAAGGTCACCGTCACCCCCCCTGGCTCAAAGAGTATCTCCAACCGAGCTCTGATTCTCGCTGCTCTTGGTTCTGGGCCATGCCGGATCAAGAACTTGCTTCACTCCGACGACACCGAGTTCATGTTGTCGGCCATTGGTCAGCTTCAAGGAGCTACCTATTCATGGGAGGAAGCAGGCGACGTTCTTGTCGTTGATGGCAAGGGCGGGAAGCTTCAGGCAAGCAAAGACGAGCTCTACATTGGAAACGCCGGTACAGCCTCTCGCTTCCTCACGACAGTCGTTGCTCTGTGCCAGGCCACTGAGGAAACCAAATCCTCAATTTTGACCGGAAACGCCAGAATGAAGTTGCGACCTATTGGCCCCCTGGTCGATGCTCTTCGTCGCAACGGGCTCGACATTGAATATCTGGAGAAGGAGAACAGTCTGCCACTTAAAATTGATGCCGCCGGGGGTCTCAAGGGTGGTACGATTGAACTTGCAGCGACCATCTCTTCCCAATACGTGTCGTCCATCCTCATGGCTGCCCCCTATGCCAAGGAGCCTGTTACCTTGAAGCTTGTCGGCGGAAAGCCCATTTCGAAGCTGTACATTGACATGACCATTGCCATGATGCAGTCCTTTGGCATCACCGTAACAAAGTCCGCTGAGGAGGAGAACACCTACCACATTCCTCAGGGTTCCTACAAGAACCCACCTGAGTACACGATTGAGAGCGACGCCAGTTCAGCGACCTACCCTCTGGCAATTGCAGCCATCACCGGCACCACTTGCACCATCCCAAACATTGGCTCCAAGTCTTTGCAGGGTGACGCCCGCTTCGCAGTCGATGTCCTACGCCCCATGGGTTGCACTGTCGAGCAGACAGACTATTCAACTACTGTCACTGGCCCCGCGATCGGTGGTCTCAAGGGGATCCCTCAGGTCGACATGGAACCCATGACTGATGCTTTCCTGACTGCGTCTGTCCTCGGTGCAGTTGCCCAAGGCAAGACGCAAATCACAGGCATCGCCAACCAGCGAGTCAAGGAGTGCAACCGAATTCTGGCCATGCACGACCAGCTGGCCAAGTTTGGCGTTCAGTGCAACGAGCTCGATGATGGTATCGAGATCCTCGGCCGCGGTCTGGAGGCACTGCAACCCGCAAATGACGAAATCTTCTGTTACGACGATCACAGAGTTGCAATGAGTTTCAGCGTCCTGTCCGTCGTCGCACCACAGACGACAATCATTACCGAGCGTGAGTGTGTTGGAAAGACATGGCCCGGATGGTGGGACGAGCTGTCTACATCATTCCAGGTTGTTCTCGATGGCGCAGATCCTAAAGTTGCCCACCTGCCGACATCAGCTTCCGACAGCAAGCCCACTCGCTCTGTGTTCATCGTTGGAATGAGGGGCGCCGGCAAGACCACGGCTGGCAAGCAAATGGCCAAGTTGTTGGACTGGACCTTTACCGACCTCGATGACGAGCTGGAGAGACGTTTCGGTATGACCATCCCGGAGATGATCAATGGTGAGCATGGCTGGGAAGGTTTCCGAAAAGCCGAGCTGGACCTCCTTCGTGATGTCATGGAGAAACAATCCAGCGGACATATCTTCTCCTGTGGCGGTGGCATCGTCGAGTCCCCCGTGGGACGAGAGCTCCTCAAAACATATGGTCAGAAGGGAGGCCTCGTGCTTCAGGTCCACCGTAACACCGACCAAGTTATCGACTACCTCATGCAGGACAAGTCTCGACCAGCCTACACCAGCGAGATCCGCCAAGTGTACTTGCGTCGCAAGGACTGGTATGCTGATGTGAGCACACATCTCTACTACAGCCCGCATGCCGATAACTCTGGGAGCCGTGCCGACATCCCACAAGACTTCCGCCAGTTTGTCAAGTTCATTACTGGTAACAGCCGAAAGAAGGCGGCGCTCGCAAAGAAGAAGCACAGCTTCTTTGTATCCTTGACTCTTCCCAATCTGAATGATGCCCGGGACATCATTCCCCGTGTTGTGGTGGGCTCGGATGCTGTTGAGTTACGTGTTGACCTCCTTGCGGATCGAAGCCACGAGGCTGTCACTGAGACGGTTTCTGTTCTGCGATCTCTTGCCAATAAGCCTATCATCTACACAGTCCGAACTGTCTCTCAGGGAGGCGCGTTCCCCGATGACGCACAGGATGAACTCTTGGCTCTCTATGCCCTTGGTTTACGGATCGGCGTCGAATACCTAGACGTGGAGGTTACTTCGCGCGAGGACATTATTCAGACCGTGTCGGATACTCGTGGTCAGACTCAGCTTATTGCTTCGCATCACGATCCCAAGGGCCAACTGTCCTGGAAGAATGCCTCTTGGATTGCCTTTTACAACCGTGCCCTCCAGTTTGGAGATGTCATCAAGCTTGTTGGCACTGCCAAGACCATCGAGGACAACTTTGACCTTCACCGGTTCAAGGCCAGGATGGAAGCAGCCCATAAGACGCCAATGATCACCCTCAACATGGGCTCCGCTGGTCAGCTCAGCCGTATCCTCAACGGATATCTCACCCCAGTGTCCCACCCTGATCTTCCGTTCAAGGCAGCCCCAGGCCAGCTATCGGCTGCGGAGATCCGACAAGGCTTGTCCCTGGTTGGAGATATTGCCCCAAAGAAGTTCTATCTCTTTGGCAAGCCCATCTCCGCCTCGCGATCGCCAGCCCTACATAACTCCCTCTTCAAGCAGGCCGGCTTGCCCCACCACTATAGCAGGCTCGAGACTGATAATGTCGCAGATGTTGATGAGGTCCTACGCAGCCCCGATTTTGGAGGCGCGTCGGTGACGATTCCTCTCAAGCTTGATATCATGAACCGCCTGGACGACTTGACAGAGGCTGCGCGCGTCATCGGGGCCGTAAATACGGTGATCCCTACTGGCGAGACGAACAAGCACGGCCGCCAGTTCTTGCTCGGTGACAACACAGACTGGAAGGGCATGGTTTCCACGTTGAAACGAGGAGGTGTGTCTGCCCAGGAGGCCAGCGGTGTGTCTGCCGCGGTTGTCGGCTCCGGCGGTACCACTCGCGCTGCGGTGTTTGCTCTACAGTCCCTGGGATTTAGTCCCGTCTACGTCTTAGCCAGAAACTCGGAGAAGGCCAACGCTCTCATCTCTGACTTCCCTGAAAGCTTCGGCCTCAAAGTACTGTCAGAGAAATCCGAGGTCGAGAGTTTACAGTCAAACCCATCCGTGATCATCAGCACAATCCCTGGAGATCGACCGATCGACTCTGCCATGCAAGAGTTATTGAGCCTCATCCTCGCCAAGGCACCCGACAGCAAGCAAGCACGAGTCCTGCTGGAGATGGCGTACAAGCCACAGCAGACCCCGGCGATGCAGCTGGCAGACGATGCCGGTGGATGGACAACTATCCCCGGGCTCGAAGTGCTTGCATCGCAGGGATGGTATCAAGTAAGTGTTCCCCCGGATCCACTCGTTTTGTTTCTTGGTTTCTAACTTGAGGATTGTGCAGTTTGATGAATGGACCGGGATCACGCCTGTCTACGACGATGCCAGAGACGCTGTCCTTGGCCGATTGGCCGGGCAGTGGGAGGACTAAGGGGGCGTGCTACCAGCATCGAGAGACGCCTTCCGGCTGGCGACGGTCAGACCATTCGTTCAGTCTTGGGGAAGGGGGTTGTTCTAAAATTGAGGAATATCTACATCATCTGAGTAGATCTAGTTAACCATCTAAAATAAAATAGGACCAGGGGACCTAACTCGCTCTCCCATGGTCCCCCTCCTAAGGAGCACTATGGGGGGCAGGCTTCAAAATATAGATGTAGAAAAAGAAAGTGATGAGAATAGAGTCTGTGCCTACCTGGCGTTCCGGGGTGCATGCTGTGAAAATAGCAGCCCCAGACTAGACAGTGACATGCCATGCCTGAAGCGTTGGCGGAAGACGCATGGATCGCAGGAAATTTCCCGTTCGGCAGCAAGTGTGAAGGCATCGATGGCTCGCCTGTGGTGTCCGTGGAGCCAAGGACAGGAAGGGCCTGAGCCAATTAGGGAGCGGATGACGGATAATATATCCCCTGGGTATATGATAAGAAACGGAGCAGGGTCCGGCTGATGAGATGCAGAGCGAGCAGGTCCATGCTTCGGCGGCCGGTCTGCCATCGACAACGACCCTATTCACATCTCGCCGTGCACTCTCGGGGGCAAGTCAGCTCGTCGGGAGCTATTCTGGGGTGTGGTTCCGCTTCGAGATGCTTAGCTGATGGCCTGTGCGTGCCCATTTCAGGCCAGTCAGGCCTATTTCCAGCGATGTGTATAACGTAATGAGCCGAATCTGGGCTGGTGGGGGCTGGGTTGGGGGAACTGCCGAAACGGTTGCTGAAGCCCTGCCCGCCTCAGCTGAGGCATCGCGAGTAAATAAACAAACAAACGATGCAGAAAGATGCAGAAAGATGCTTAAGTAATTTATATATCGCGAGCACGCCTCTCATCTTCTGTTGCTGATTATGGAGTTTCGCTGATCATGATGCGATTACATCTAGGCTAGAACATGAGGTAGCATTAATGCAGCATAGCCGAACCTTTCGAGTTGCATTTCAAGCTGCATCTCTCTTCATAACTTGCCCATATTGTGTTGTTGGTTCCAATGGGGTGAAGGATCGCGTGTGGCCTTCTGGAAGCCGCGCTGCAGCAACGGCAGTTGCTATCAATTGTGCCACAATTAGACATATGCCTAGGGAAGCAGAAGCACATACAGTTAGGAACCTTGGTCGCGGGAAATCCTTCAAAGGTCGGCAAGCAGCCCTACTAGAGCGTCTATTTTGGGCCACTGGCCTTCCATACCGTGGCGGACAGGCCCACCAGAGCCCCCCGTCCTCTATAGCCAGTGCCTGCAGCGTCTAATCTCAGCGCGCCTGTCCGCCGGCTAGCGACCTATTACAGCGCGCACAGGCAGCTCTGCACGGGCCCTTTACCGCGCACACCCCCAGCTCGCACCATCAATGAATGGCATGAGCCTTCTCCGTTTCAATTTCCAACATGCCTAGGCTCCCGGCAGGTCGAAACCCTTGAATGGATGGATGTTCTGGTTCATTCTTCTATTATTACCCTTCAACTCCATGTCGAATTTCGCTACGCTCCGAGCCTGGCATGGGGATTTCCCCGGCTCTCTGAGAACTAGCTTGATCCTAACCGCACACCCCCCTTTCCCATCATCAATCTTCGATTCCTACGGGCGGATTGTACCGAGCTTTCGAGTTTCAGATATTCAAGGATATTATACACAATTTGATGTCGCGAAAGACTAAGTAAGGTAGTTGAACAAATATGGAAGAAAGGGTCTCATTCAACAGCGAAGCGCAATGACATTTGCAAGATAGACCTTAGGCACGTCAACCCACTAAAAACATTGTATGCAGATCACTCCGACGAACACCCAAGTCAACTACGTACATAACATCGCAACCGGCCGTTGATCATCTCACTCAGGGCGCAGATAGGGCACGGGCGATCTCCTCCGGCCTGGCTGCCATTCCCCTCGATTGCTAGACCTCAATGGCTGGAAGAGCTCAAGTTTCTTAGGACAGGAATGCGTTAGGGCCCCCTGGGTCCAGATCGCTCGAGGAACGAACCCCAAAGATCAGCGCTGGACCCCTTCGCCACTGATGAAACCAACAGCGCTTCCCCGGCGCCGGCGCGATCGATCAATGTGCAAACTAAGGGAGCCCTTTCTCCGTCTCGACCAACGGGAACTCCCCGCACCCCTCCAGCAAAGGACGAACACCCCAAGGCTAGCTCCGTCGATGACCGCAGATTGGGTCATCTATTCTTAAATTTCTAAGGGAACATCCGCAGATGAGGAATGGCCTGCATCGGGTGGGCGTCATAATCAAAGTCAATGACTCTGCATCATCACAATTTGGACATCATATGGACGGGAACATTCTTAATTTGGCTATTCTGAGGCAGTACTAACTAGCAGGCGACGTAAGGAAAATTGACCCTAGAAACAATCTTGGCCATGAATGAAATTCAGTAAACATCAAAGCGGCTCACAGTAATTAGAGAGAGGAAAAGCAGAAGACAATCAAGTTAGAGATAAGAAAATAATTCGATTCTTTCGCTTTACATTTCGTCATGTACCACCACTTTGTGTCGTTCGTGGTTTTTCTCTAGTCTGAATAATGAAAATGCAAGATAAACACCTCTCAACCTATGCGCTGGCTTTTTCTTTTCCCAATACAGAACAAAATTTCGTGGTCGTTGGTGGTAGAAACAGTATTGTGGCAGGTATAAAAAGGAATAAAAATGAAAAGTAAACGCCACAATTTCCTGCCAGAGGACATTGACAAGGCAATGAATTTGAGAATAGAAAGGTATAGAGTTAAAAAGCAAAACACGCCAAAATCAAATGAAAACCCAACAAAACATATTCTATGCGCTCATGACCTCGTCGAACAAGGGATTGAAACAATGTCTACCCAGAATGCTTTCCCGTTTGTTCTGTCCACCCTAACTCCACGAAATTAAAATCGTTCTTGTGCTTGTACAAGGGTTTATCGATGACCCAATAGAAGAAGAAAAAAAATGTTGATTTTTGATGAAAATTAAAAGAAACTGCACGTCATAACGCTGTTCAGGCATGCACATGCAATGCACCGTCGCCTAACGCGAGACGCTTGCATAGTTGGGATGATGACGCCTTGGAACAGGTTGGAATTGAGTGACGTTGACAGCTGAAAGAAGAGAAGATGCAAAGCCAAACTTGGCGAAGGGTCCGTCCAGGTCCCACACGAGAGAAGGATCCTCGAATCGCTTAACACGAGGCGGTTGGCGGGGAGAGAGGAGAGGATTCGGGGGAAGGTGGAATGATGTCAGGGTGGGTCCGTGACGTCAGAGCTGGTGATCGCTTTGGACCCTGCAGGACCCCTATGATCCACTTCAACCCAATCTGGTTTCTGATTGGCTCAGAGTCGCCAAGACATGGCGCACGGCCAACGTCATGGGCCCACTCTCCCCTCCCAAAGCAACTGCTTCCTGCCAATAGCCTCATTCCAAATCAACCCTTCGCTGCGTATCCATCTGGCTCTGGTTGCTTCGATGTATCGCTATGTTGTAATTAATGCCGTATTATCTTGTTTAGCTTCGGTTTGATTCGGATTGCTGCACACCCGGGGGGTATGGCACTCAACCACGACGGCGGTGCTTGCCAGGGACCTCCATGTCAGGGTGGCAGACACGATAGTGTCTTGTCAATGCGTCGGCGCGGCTAAATGTCTTCTCCTCACTGCAGACGCCGCATCGGACCTTCTGCTTGCGGGCGTTGTGGATCGTATCTTCGTGTCGAGTGAGATCATAGGGCCGCGAGAAGATCGTATTGCAAGGCTTGCCTGTGCTAGGGTTGATGCGATCGCAACGGTGGGGGCCGGCTTGGCTGTTGAGCAGGCTGGATGTCATACCATCGTGGGGTCGAGGTACTGTGAGGCCGTGGCTTTGACGGTGGCCCTCCCTCTTGTGCTTCTGGAGAAGAGCTGGCGTCTCAAAGCGAAGAGTGCATCCGTGATAGGTACAGGTGTAGGTACCACCCTCAGCTGCCATTCCCATGGGTCGCGCCATCCTTGAAGGAGTGCTGCTGCGGGAGCCGATGCTAGAGCCCGAGGAGCCAAGGCGAGGTGGAGAGCTGGTAGTGACTGGCTGTGCCCGGGCGACGAAGGGATACTGCTGAGGCACCTGGATACCCATGCCGGTGGGCATCTGGGGTTGCAGGTAGCTGAGCTGGTCGCCGTTGTGGCCAGAGTGCATGAAGTGGGAGTTGACACCTTGGGGAATCATTTGCTTGGCCATCTGGTCGATCTCCAAGCCTGTAGCCTGGGGGAAGAGCGGGAAAGTAGCCTCTGCCTCGTCGTTGAACTCAAGCATCGCATCCTTAGGAGAGATGGTCTTGGGTGTCGCGGGTTGAGTGCGTGCGCGCGCCATCTGTTGCTGATACATCTGGGCATCCTGTTGCTGCTTCCTTTGCGCCACGTTCATTTGCATGCCTTGGTTCTGAGCAGCATTGAAGTCATGGCTGGAGGGCGCATAGGGGGAGTCGTGCCTGAATGGGGATGATCGGCCATGCGAGGCAGTAGAGTTTGGAGAGTGAGTGATGTGGAGATGCTGGCTGTTAGCAGCGTTGAGGCGCTGGCTAAACAATTCGTTTGGGGGAGACATGGCAGACATTTGGTGTTGTTGAGGTGGCGTAGATGTGATGGCAAAGTTGGGACTGTAGAGCTCATCTCCATAGACGTCTGTCATGGTGCGGTCAAGCTTGGGCATATTACCATAGCCTTCTAGAATAGGGAGAAGTGGTGAGTCACTGATTTCTAAGCCTTCAGCTGGAGAATTTTTCATACCTTTCCTGCGCCTGTCTGCAGCTGCATCTTCATGGCTGACAGTAGGGGTAGCTGGTGAATCACCGCCCGCGATTGAGCTTGCCACTGACCCAGGCTGAGATCGGCTTCCGCTGTTTTGGAGCTCTGGCGCAGGCAGCAGATTGCTGCGGTCCACGCGTGTCTGCTTGCCACCAGGTCCTTGGATTGTGACTGGGTAGGCCATCTCAGGGACAGATGGATCAAATGCCTGGTAACCCGAGTAATGGCTGACAGGCTTCGCCATCTGGGGGTAGAAGGACCCGCCCTGGCTGCTGTTGTCATGTTGGGCGTACATGTCAGAAAGGTCGTCACCAAGCGAGTCAGTGACTGCGATCTGAGGGTTAGATGTGTTGGAAGAGTAAGGTGATGCTGGGCCCGTGGAACCAAGCGACGAGAGCGAGGATCCACGTTGGTGAGAATACCGGCCAAGCTTTTCGGATGTGTAACGAGGGATGTTGCCCCAAGAATCTGACTGCATGCCGTCGTTGGGAAGAACACCGTTTGCAAGTGAGTTGATGTTGTCGAGGATCGAGAGGGGTGCTGATGATGAGAAGTCGAAGTTGAATTCTGAGGGGAGCTGCTGAGCTGGTTGAGAATAAGTGCGCGTGTGACGACCAGGTAATTGGTTGCACTGGCTGAAATGGTATGGAGAATTGGTAAGGGATAGCATGTTGGCGTCCAGTGTTATCGAGATTTAGGTTTGGTCTTCAAGGCGTGGTGGCAAACTGAGGAGGACCCAAGGGACTATATACCGTAGGCGAGAAAGACAAGAGCAGGCAGGGGTGCTGGAGTGTGGGGCACGGGTGGGCGTAGAATTAACACACCCACACCCCTCTCCCCTCGATGGCCAGGTCCCTGTCTTGGTCCCAACAGGGCCTGCTCCGATGCCTACCACCCAGGACCCGTTGGGTCCCGCCCGTCTGAAGGAGGGAGCTGATGGAGTGAGATTTGAAAATAGAGGGCTATTTTCCTCCCCGTCCGATATGCGGCGGTAGAATGAATAGGTGGTTATTTCTGGCCACGAGCGAGATGAAATGAAGACATCGACGACCCTGAAGCACAACATTCATGGGCAGCAAGAGCGATCCTGAGCCGCGGCAGCTGGTCCGGAGCATAGCGCCCGCCGCTTCGATCGGGTTCTGTGCCTGGACGTCTAAGCATGGCTAAGCATTCTGGAAGTTGCTCGACGCTGGCTGGTGATACATACCATTGCGGACAAAGACTCACTCAATCAAGCAATCAATCAATCAAAGGCAGTGTGTGCTAAGTCCGGTATGTCCAAGCTGTGCACTATTCCCTTTTTGACGTGCACATCTGAAATGAGCCAGTTGATGCTGTTATTTTTCATCGTCCGTGGCCGCTAGACGTGGTGCGCTGCATTTCGGAGTCATCTCCACCACAGACGGAGCTCTCCTGGCTGGTGCAACCAGGTGCTTTCCGGATAGTGTAGGGGATCTATCTTTGGGCCACGGAATCTCCATGATGCAAAGAAGAAGCTGTAAACTGGGTCCATGAGCTCCTCGGGGCTTGTGAGCGCCCTGTCGTGACGTATCGGCGCGTCGATCGTGCTCGCTTGCTCATGCTCAACAAATCGAGGCCAAGGACAGGAGGCCAGTCACTGGTCGCCCTAGCTAAGCCACGGCTACATTAGTCATCGGGGGTGCCGCCACAGTCCAGCAGTTTCTCTCTCCCTTGCGCAGCTGTACACATGCTACGTAGCTTCTTGCTTCTCCACGTTTCCGAGGGCTTGGCACACAAGCCACACACGCAACCAGACAGCTTCCCGAGAACCACCCACAGCGAGACCGGTCCCGATCACACGACAAGGAAGGTCACATGACCCCGGCTTTGGTTCTCCTGATGGCTAGCATCGGGATCAACAACCGGCGCAGAATCCCCCTGGCAGGCTGGGCACGGCGTGAGTCCTATCACTACGAATTGCTGGCCTTGTGCTCACTTCCAGGGTCGTGGCCTGACTCTGGCTCTCTACTGCTCCCCCGTGACTGGCCAAATGTGGGCGGAGATCCTGTCTAAAGTTATGGGGCTCACTTCGATTGTTGGACCATCAGGCGCTGAAAGCATGAACTACGTGAGCTGCATGACAGCCGGGTTGGACACAATACCCAATCGACCGTCGGGTATGCAAATCTACTAAATTTTTACCAGGCATTAGCTAGCAAGCATGGTCAAAGTAAATAAACCACACCCCCAACAAGGCTGCAAGATTCTCTTAATGGACCCATCACCTGGGGGTGTGGACTCTCTCTGCCTGCAAGAGAGTGACTCAAGGTGAATACATACACAAAGTAAGTCAAGCCAAGGAAAACACATCCAACTTTACCTTGGCAGGCCCCAGCGACGGATGCAAGGAACAGCAGAGAAAAATTCTCTGGGCCCCAACTAAGGCATGCAGACTCCCCAGGGTTTCCAATCAACGGCCGTAGGAGACATATCCTATGTCTATCCTCAGCCAGGGAAGACTTGAAGATCGGAATGGCCGAATATGGCATCCAGAGAGAAGATCAGACAGCCAATCAGGACCGCGATCTAGACAAACTCAGCCACCAGTTACCCGTGGTGTGGGAACCATCAGCACGCCCAGGTCTTGGTTTTAGGCTTTAGCTCGCTGCTCGCCCGCCCACTCGCTCCCTAAAGCTCCCCTAAGCCGCCCCTGTAAACTCTCCCCAGGCCTTCGGGCACTCGGCAAGCGAGCAGGTCCCACGAGTTTAAACCCGAAGACTGGTAAATCACAAGACAGACATTGCAATCCTATTTGGCTGTTGTATGCATTGAAGGACACACACACGCACACACACACACTTGATGTGAAAATTTTCATCCCTCCACGGTTCTGCTGGAACGGTTCCGTGCGTCCCTATTCCCTCGTCTCGCGGCCCGGTGCTATCCAGCTGCCGTGGGATTAATCCGGAGTTTGGCGACCTCCGGAAGTTTTAGGTAGTGCTCCGTACTCCCCCGCGTGCTCTACTGAGGAAGTGACCTCCAACAACAGGTGCTTTCTGCGCCCATGAGGACCGGCTAATGGGTGAAAAATCAGCCCATGTATGGCGATCGCGAGAGCATACTCGATGAAGAAAAAAGCATCGCCGTCATGTGCGTGCAATGTCGAATGCCTCTTTGCTTCTTTCCGCATCCGTGCCGTTTTCTTGTCTCCTTTCTCTCCCATTGTATCGTACGTTTTCTTCCAGCGCGCACACCCTCAGCGCCTGACATTGATGGATTGCTAAACCACGGGATACGATGCGGCAGGCATGGAAGCAAAGGCCTATTGGTGGGTTGTCTCCGTATCGCTAGCCGGACGTATATCATCGATCGATCTTGGGTGGGTGTAGAAGCTTCTTGTCTTAGATGACAGTGGTCGCGGCCCTGATGGATTGTTCTCGACATGCTAGTCAGGACTCTTGGATGCATAACCCCTGTGCATCGGAATATCACATCTCCTCTGCATTCCCGGCTCTGTCAGATGGTGACAGCCGGGCTGTGCTTTGCACCTGTCTCTTGTCTTGTCTGTCTGTCTGTCTGTCTTGCAGTCTGGTTAGTCGCACAAACCGCAACGGTGGGCGCCGTAACCACGTTGTTGGACGCACGCACGAGTCTCTGCTCAGCTTAGTTCCACCTGCCGGCCGTGCCATGCTCTCCCCCGCCACAAGCAACAATCGCATTGCGGACAAGCACCAGCAAACAATCAAGACCAGCTGAAGCTCGGCATGCTCTACGCCCTAGGGTCGGACAATGGACCGGAAACGGGAATTCTAGGCCTTTGCCAGCTCGACCTCCCCATGCAGTGCCACTTTACCCCATCTCAACTGGCTGTGCATGGTCGCTTGCCAATGGTCCAATGTGCCAGCGGACAATGATTTTAGCATTGATTATTCTCCTCCTGTGCTACTGCCGGGTGTATGGGCAGGCAGGTCGGTAATCTATCTCGCTATAATGCACCTAGTAGATCACCCTCCCTCCCTGCGTGACCCGTCCCGTATTCCACCCCCCACCCTCTTTCTCGGCGGTTCGCCGTAGAAAAATTCTCGACTTCGGAGCCGCCGCGCGCCTGGTTACAAAGCCTCAGCTTCATAACACCAACACGATTGTTTGGAAGCTGGAAGTCAGCTTCCGCCCGGGCAATACCATACCCGAACGCGCACCGAGGAAACAGCGAGCGCCTTGTTTCTCAGCGCTTACGCAAGCATCGATGATGACCCAGCACCAATAGTTAGTTAGTGAGCAGGGCTGAACTTGCAAATACTTCCATGCTTGCCGAGCCTGCTTCGGATTCGTATCTTCTCAACTCGAAGACCCTGTAAAGGCTGCAAAGGGAAAATCATTTCTTACTATGTATTGCTTCGTCATTCATCCACCTCGTACTACCTTTTTACCGGTTGACAATTTTTTTCCCACCCCCACACACTTCCTGGCCCGCCGGAGTGGCAATACAACCCTCTGAGATCTCAAGGGGATGCCCCTTTTTGCGATATCTTGCGCAAATCTTTGGGCAGAAATAGCATCATGTACATTGATGATCTGGCATTGGAGCCCGATGTTCTGCAGATTTGCCTAATCAATCCGTACCGTGTTCTTGCAACGTAGCAACCACGTATGCCTTCTACCATCGTTTAAGATGGAAGAGCCACAGTAATCCAGCCTTATTTGATCCCTGGAAGGGCGGCTGATCTGCCGCCTTCAATCTAAGCGCATGGGCCGCGTGTGGCTTGGATGCGAGCGAGCCTATCGCAAGCCCTTGCCACCCCCGCGGGAACCGCTGTTTGGTTCGGATGTAGGCTGAGTCCCGTTCACGAAGTGTGGCGGACTTTAGCATCTTCTGGGACCCGAGCATGCGGAATCGCGGAAAGCTTGGTCATGATTTTTAATGATGGGATTCTCCGTCGCTTCGGCGGTTTTCCCATCGCTTGCGTAAGGGGTGCCCGGGCTTGATGATCTAATTGCCATCTTCAGACTCGAGGTGCAACCCACTTTGCCAATCACCGTCCACGATACGAGCTTACCCTGGAGCCCTGGGCTAGCCATCCATGTAAGCTTCGATAGCCTCGAACTTGTTTCTAGTAAAGAGCCGCAGTTTAGTTGGGTTCCCTGGGTTGCCGGGCTTGCGTATACCTTGGACGAATATTCTTCCCCATTGAGCCTCTATACTCCTCTAAGGGCGTGTGCCTAGAATCAGAGCCCACCCACCCGGTTGGTAGATCCAAACCTTGAAGGCAGATTGGCAGGAGCTCCGCCACCGTCAACCATCACCCACAGGCATTTAGAGACATGGGCAAAGACCAATAGCGATAACCCCATTTCACTTTCCCAATACTGTCTTGGTGGCTGACATCGGATCCGAAAAGCCACAGTGGCACATCTAAACCTGTTATTGAAGAAACCCGGGGAGATGAAGGACAATTGTACCAAGTGGGTGTGGGAAGAATAGGGGCCGCAACAGTGTTTCCACAACTCAGCTTTTCAATACAGGCAGCAACATTTAGAGACAATTGGTAGTTCAGGCCACTGTTATTCGCTGTCTAGGACTTGCGGTTCCTAGGTTTCTGACAGCCACATGGGTTCGCAGGCATGGACCACGAGTCGCAACCTGACCGCCACCGGTCTCACACATACGTACTAGAGAAGGTCAGACACATGCGTATTGTGGCTGCCTGTTACGAACCATAGGGAAACGTGATCAATGTAGTTCTACAAAGTCTAATGCCGCTCGGCTTTGTTCGGCCCCCCGAAAATGAGCCAAACGGTTGTTGCTTCGTTGGCTCCAGATGCCATTGTCTGAAAGGGTTGGTTCGTGGACCACCGGCGGCGCGGCCCAGACACCCACCAGGAGTGGCAAGTGATTACACGTCGAGTCATGCGTTGAGCTTACTGAATGAGTCAAATTGAGCACTATTTACCTAATATACTTACTCACGTTCATGTTTAATTGTGTGAAGGGTACCAAGGTAAACGCAACCAATAGCAACACCCATATGAACGGGATCGCAGAGAACAACCCCCACGACAAGTCAGACCATAGAGTTAGTAGAAGAATTCACGACTCGGGTGAAACTGGCCTCGGGAGAGTCGGAGACAAGCCATTACAGCACGTGAACAATGATACGGTGCAGGTGGAGACTTGGCAAATAACACGCACTGCAGGGAAACGCGACTGCTTCACGATACGATGGTGAACGTTCAAGTTGATCATTTATGCCGTTTGGCCATTTCAATTACCCCTAAATGCAGACCACCCGTTTCCCTTATGGTACAGAACACCCTAAAGCAAGACCAAATCCCATAGTCATCATGAAGTAACACCCTACTAAGGTCGCCGACACCATCGCATCCAGGATCGCGTGCGCGCGGTCCATGTCGCGTTGGTCAGCACGCGTGTGCGAGGCGACGAGTTCATAAAAAGGCATGCAATAAAAGAGCAAACACGCTTAACCACCGAAACCGTACAGGGTGCGGCCCTGTCGCTTCAGGGCGTAGACAACGTCGAGAGAAGTGACGGTCTTGCGCTTGGCGTGCTCAGTGTATGTGACGGCGTCACGGATGACACCCTCGAGGAAGGTCTTCAGGACACCACGGGTCTCCTCGTAGATCACTGCATATTGGGTTAGCGATTGCTTCGGTCTGATCATCAAGGAGTGAGTAACATACTGGCAGAAATACGCTTGACACCACCACGACGAGCGAGACGTCTGATAGCGGGCTTGGTGATACCCTGGATGTTGTCACGAAGAATCTTGCGGTGACGCTTGGCGCCGCCCTTGCCGAGACCCTTTCCGCCCTTGCCGCCTGGTGATGTATGTTAGCAACGCGTCTCGACACGTCTCGGGTGAGCACATTGAAGGCATCGAAGGCGAGGTGCGCCATCGAAGCCATCAATGGCTTGGTGGGGGATAGTAAGACTTACGTCCAGTCATGATGATAGATGTGGTAATGAAGTTGTGAAGGTTGTTGTGATGTGTGATGCAATGAAGCAGAGAGACGTTGTAGTGATAGTGAGATGCAGGAGAGAGAAGTTGGGGGTGCGGGCGGGCTTAAGTAGAAGTGGGCCAAAATATCAGATCAGTTCAGAGAGCTTCGGCAAGGAAGCTGGAAGGCAAGGCAGATGCAAAGGTGGGGGCCTTCCTCACGCGCGCCGCCAGACGCGATCATCCGCTTTTGGAAATAGTGGGGAGAAACTGCAATCACCAAAAAACAAATCGCGGCTGGTTATTTTTCAACGAATCAGAAAATTGATCCTCGAACCAGGGTGGGTTTACAGCCCAAACGCATTTACGCTTCGCAGGAAACGGCAGGGCCCAGTTTCCGTCTGGAGTTTGACGTTTCTGCCTTCGTATGTGCTCTATACCCAAACGTGAGTCTGCCAGGCAGCCCGACTGGATCTACCTAGCACATGTCCACCCAGATATCCGGAGTCCTGCATAGTTCCCGCCTGTGGCTTGGTGTTCTCGGCCCCATGCGCTTGTTATTTTCGTATCTGTGGTGTGACTCACAACGGATGAAGTTGCTCGATACCAATGTTCCCTACCCTAGATCGTCGATGATGTGATTCTCTCTGCCCATTCCAGCTCTACGTAGTGTCCCGATAATGAATATTTCTTTTGCATGATGATGTATTTACCTTTGGTGCTGTATTATTCTTACTTTATTGGTTAAGTTGTATTCCTTTGTTGGGTTGGTGGTGTAATGTGGTAGTTCACCGCCACTCATCAATGTAAAACAATCACATGCATAACGGCATCTTCAGTAGCTTCATGTCAGGGAGATGCCTAAGAGACAAACTAGAGCGAATCTACCGGGGTTACTAGCATCATAAGGTTCCGCTACGTAAGAGCTTTCAAAATTATGTCATTGCATCGAATGCACAAGCTTAGTTGGGTGGCGATCAGAGATTTGAACATTGTCATTATCATCACGGCGGTTGGGTTGGTACAGAAATTCGGTAGTGGGAGGCATTGATGCAGCCAATCAAAAATCGGGATCTGACGTGCACCACATTTTGCCATTTTCGGATCACTGAGATTTTGGGTTCAGCTGGCGCGTGCTGCAAGGGAAAATGCAAAGCCTGTAGCGCACCAAAATTCACGGCCTTAGTGGGCGTAAGTTTTTTCTGGCAGCGCCTGAGACTCGGAGGGGCGCCCCGCCTCTCTCAACGCGATCCACCCCTGCACCTTCCTCCCTTTTTTCTGGTAGGCTTACGCGCTCGATCAATTACTGATTTGACGCACGGGCCCAGCGCGCGCGCCAGATCAGTGTTGCACCCCAAATCACACAGCCTAGCACGAGAGGTATTAAAGCCGTCCCCCGCCCTCCCCTCTCAGCCAACTTCTCTCCTGCATCACACACCCACATCTCTCACACACACCCCACTTCTTCCATCAACAACCACAACACTTCCATCAATCCATCAACAACATTCGCAGCAATGGCTCGCACAAAGCAGACTGCCCGCAAGTCCACTGGTGGCAAGGCCCCTCGTAAGCAGCTGGCCTCCAAGGCTGGTAAGTCATTGCATCCGCATCCTCATCGCGTCTCTCGATCATCACTAACGCGCTTCACAGCTCGCAAGAGTGCCCCATCCACCGGTGGTGTCAAGAAGCCTCACCGTTATAAGCCCGGTACCGTCGCTCTCCGTGAGATTCGTCGCTACCAGAAGTCGACTGAGCTTCTCATCCGCAAGCTCCCCTTCCAGCGTCTCGTAAGTCATCATTTCATCACAACCCTCTTTCCATCAACATCATTCTAACATTCCATCAACAGGTCCGTGAGATTGCCCAGGACTTCAAGAGCGACCTTCGCTTCCAGTCCTCCGCCATCGGTGCTCTTCAGGAGTCCGTCGAGTCTTACCTCGTCTCTCTCTTTGAGGACACCAACCTGTGCGCCATCCACGCCAAGCGTGTCACCATCCAGTCCAAGGACATCCAGCTCGCCCGCCGCCTCCGCGGTGAGCGCAACTAAGCTGGCTGCCATTTGGCAGGGTTGACACTTTCTGGCGGTTCATGACATTTGCTTTGACACGATGGAACTCATGGTTTAGGGGGTTAATTATGGCGTTACAATGAGAAACTTGGTTTTGCTCTACACAGTTGGGATGTACTATACCGCAGTAAACGAGACTGCATTCAATGCAACAGGCGAATGCCTTATTAACACATTTCTTCCATGAGACCACCAGTGCATGTTTGGCCAGAAGTGTAGTTACCGGGCGCGACCGCGTTCACTTTAGATAGATCATAATCCCATTCACACAATCACCACGAGTCGCGTAAATGGCATCCATCATAGAGTGAAGAGGTGTGAGATTCGTGGCGCGATGGCGGTGAGCTGCCAGGTGGAGACGTGATGGATGATCCATATCGTGCTTTGGAGTCGCGTCTCTTTAATTACTTGATCATATTGATTTGACACGACTTGGCTGTGACTGCACAACGTTGGATGGACCTCAAGAGTTGAGAAAATGTGGTTCAACACGGTGACAACTGCGGGCACAAAGAAACGAGACATCAAATGGATGGTAGTGTATTGCCTCTTGGGCATTTGTTATTTGCGCTCACGAGAATAATGCTACTGGTCATAGACTCGGAAACAAAGAACCAACTTCAATGACTCGGTTGAGCGACTTCTATTACTGTCGCACTAAATGATCTGACTGTTCCATGTGCGAACTGGTGACTTTGTGCTTCTGCTTGTATGAGACTGTGCTTCTACGGCCTCAGAGTGCGGAGACTGGAGATGCTGCCAAGCACGCATCGAGTCATCCGCCATCCAAGACGACCGACATCATCGCGAGGGATGGTCTACCTAAGTGAGCGGCGCATCGCGTATTGATTGCTGGCATCGAGCGGCGCTGCCTCAAGGCTGCCACTGCCGCTGTCGCTGCCGTTTCCCTTCGTGCCTCGTGACTCATTTTGTTGGGGAGGGCTTTTCAGCGAACTCTACGAGCCTGGAGCGGACTCATCTTGTTGGGCTTATGATCAGATGACGAGCCGGACAGTCAGCGCTGGCGATTTAATGCACGGGTCGTAAAGAATTTATTTCTACGGTGGCACGGCAGAGGCAATATGCGTGTGGTACTATTGTATTTCTAGCGAGCTATTTTACTCATCGAAAGGTTGTCGTCATTTGGTGATCAGCAGGTGACATTCGAAGATTTGTGCCGCTCGGCTGTCTCGCAGGAACGAGTGCGGGGGGTCCAATCGCAGGAGCGGGCGTCGAGGGTCAGAACCTTGGAAAATCGAAGATGATTTAAATTTTTCTTTAGCTCATGACGAGAAAAAGCCGAAAAGATCACGAGGCCGCGGGAATGGCCATCTTGGGGGAGCCGTAGGTTTCTGTGCCTGTGTGGCTGTGCGACATCTCGGTTCGCTTTTAGGCTTCAATCTAAACTAAAGCGAATCACCCCAATCGCCAGGGGCCGAAAAAGTATGACTCAACTCACACGCCCTCCCCGTCCACGATCTCGGGCAGCAGCAAGGGGTCCCTGATGAGGCGCGCCATGTCGTCGTCGCAGATGTTGATGGAGACGTCGACGCCGTGACGAGTCCACGAGTTGCGCCCGGCCGCCGCGCCCGGGTCCGAGTCTGCCTGCCACGATGGCGGTGCCTCCTTGATCAACACATCGCCCTCGAGCTCGGGGATGAACCCGTCAGCGTAGACGACCCTGGATCCGAGTCCGAAGTCGACGTCGTAGAGTCCCGCGCGCGCCCACGTCGTCACCAGGATGTGGCGCCTGCCCAGGAAGGCCTGCCAGATGCGCTGGGGGGACTTCTCGTACGCCACCGTGTGCAGGTGCGCCGCGACGGCCTGCGTCTGGCTCATCCTGTCCAGCGTCGTTCGGATGCCCCGGGCGAGGGGTGCGAGTGCCATCGCCACTTCTCCCTTTGCATCCGGTGCGCTCGAGGAGGCAGCAACCACGGCGCCGGATAGCTCGGTTTTGACCATGATGATGGGCGAGCCCAGGAACGATTCGCCGAGCTTGAGGACGGGGCGGAGGCCGTACGTGAGGTCGCAGTACACTGGGCCGGTGTCGTGCTGGAGATTGCGAGCCCGCGTGATGCATGACCAGATATGAGCGAGCACCGCGTCATGGCGACTGATCCGGGGCGATGGTGGCGACGAGGAAGGGGACGAGCCGCCGCTGGTGCCTGATGCTTGCTTCCAGAGGTGTTCGATTTGGTCGTGGGTCAAATGGATCGTGTAGTGGGAGACATGCTGTTTGACATCCCATTCAGACCACGGCATGGCTTTCCCTGCTGGCGGGAGACTGCTCTCACCAGGTGAGTTCTCGAGGAACACGCTGGGTGTCTCTAGGGGCCACGGAGCACCGTCTGAGGATGTCCACCAGTCATATCTGTGAAAGGGTAACTCTCTCGTTTGCTCAACGAGATTGTTGTCTGGCTGATCAGCGTTGATATCGCCTGCAGCATGCGAATCAACCAGTGCAGGATCAAACACTGGGTTCAAACTAGGCTCAGGACTTCCCGCGAGTCTTGCGCTGCTGACTCTGGACCAGTCTTTGATCAGTTGGGCGAGTGCAGTGATATCTGCCAGCGGATGCGTGATCTTTGCTGCGACAACGAACCCGCCGCAAGCCAACTCAGTGAGCTGTATGGCCAGCAGCGGCTCGAGGAGGCCGTCTTGATCCGGACTTCTGGGGCTGCTCGACGGGCTGGCGATCTTGGTTTGCGGGATGAAGGCCTTGAGCGATACCCCCTGCCGGTCCCAGATCGGTTGCTTCGTTGGCCGCGACTCCGGGTAGAGCATGTCCAGAGTGGCAGGGCTGCTACAGGAGATGAACTCGACGCCTGGATCAGTCTCGGTGCCATAGTGTGTATACACTCGACCGAACCTGCGGGCATGGGGAGAGAAGTGCTTGGCCTCATCCTCCACCTTGCCATCAATGTTACCGACTATCTTCAGGTGGCCACACCACTGGGGATAAGCGTTCAGAGTGGCACTGAGAGACTTCTGGAGATGGTCACGAAGAGAGAAATCTGTAGTACCTTTTCCAGTGTTGAGGTCTGCCTTTTTCCACGGCTCGAAAAGCCACAGAGCGTTCGTGAGGGCAAAGTTGACGGTGGTTGCATCGAGAAGAGACAGCGGTATTGCGTTCTCGGCTTTCTGTCTACTCTGCGGGAAGACTCGCTCCTTGTGAAAACCCGAGGGCTCAATGTTAGTTGACATGATGCTTTCTTTCACACAAATTTCCAAGTCGTTTTGGAAGAGAACGCAACAGCAACGGATCGTGGAGGCTGGTTGTCTCTCATATCCTAATTTCATGGGCGAGGCCAACTCTAGGGTAGTGCGGAGCATGTTGCCCGATTCGGCACGCCGAAGAGACGACGGATGAGTCGAAATGAGCACGGCTGCTATTATTCGCTCAACGTAGTATCCAGCCTTGGCCATGATGCTTGGCAAACTCGAAGAAAAGTTTTCCGCGCGCGGCATGCGAAAGCTGCGGTCAAACCACACTACCTTCTGTAACAAATCCCCGAGCCTATCGGTAGAGCTAGTGTAGAAGGATGAAGTCGTATTTTGAGAGTAGTCGATTGTAGTAGGTAAATTCTAGTAGACATTGGATAGATAGTCTTCTGAACGGGCTGGCAATCGTTAGTACCCATAACTAGTAGCGAGTAAATCTTTAAGCATTAACTTTAGTTGTTATGTAGCCTTGGAACTGGTGCTGAAGATTAGAAAATAACATCACAATGTTTGTTTGGCACACACAAGCAAAATATGCAAATTAACTTTTCATTTGGCGCTGAAGATATAAGTAAAAAAACTAACAAATATATATGAAGATCTAACCTTTATCCCAAACAAGTGCGGAGCTCCTATACACACACCGACCTTTCCTTAAACTACAATCCTAGGCAGACACCTCGCTGTACTGTGTTGGGAGCTGAGTTAACACGTCAAAGCCTCCAGTACCAACCTTGCCCAGACTACCCATAACCAATCTGCTACTGGGTGTGATCAAGTCGTCCCAGTCTCCATCCAGCACGGAATCCTTGAGGACAGACAATGTTGTCTCGAAACTCATCTTCGTGAAGGGGCTGATGTTACCCTTGAGTCCCATTCGGTTGAACGGAGTGTAGTCGCCGTTTCGAGTCATGAAGTCGGCAATCAGGTTAAGATGTCTGTTGTCTACCTTGATACCGTGACCACCGAAAACTCCAGACAACTCGGCCACGATGGTGCTGCGGCCTGCCTCCACGCCGTACACATCGAGCATAGCGCCGATATCATTGGTTGAGATGCGGTTGGGGTCAATGAAGTCGCTGTACTTTTGCATGGCGTTCAAGTTCACACCCTCTGTATGGACCATGAATGCACCTTGTTGGCTCACTTCGAAAGTGCAGGTTCCGACATTGGGAATCTGTTGAATCACTGCCTTCTTCACTGCTTCCTGCACAATGTTGAGCATCAGGATCTTGGGAGTGACAGCGTCGAACTCGAGTGTCATGTTGCACCAAGCACCCTTGGACTCGTCGCACGTAAACTCTGTGACTTCGGTATAATCGTCCATCACGCGCTCGGAACGAGCCTGAGCCGATGCAGATATAGAGTCTTCATCATCGTCATCCTCGCTATCATCTTCATCCTGCTTGGATCGGCGTTTCTGAGGCGACGGGCTACCTCCAATACCCTCATCTTCGTCCATGTCATCTGCCGTTTCCTTGTCCATTGATTTCTGGACAGCATCGTCCTCATCATCGTTGGGGCCGTATGACACAGCTTCGTCCTTGTTGGCGCGCTGCTTGGCATTGGTGGCATCATCATCATCGTCGTCGTCATCGTCGTCCTCGCCACGGGCTCTTCTGCTGGTCGGGGCTGCCGTTTCAACCACACCAACCTTGACGCCGATCTCAGGTGTTGCCATGGTGGCTTTGTCAACCCGCTTCTTAATTTCCTTCTTTGTGGCGGTCAGGATAAGACGCAGAAGCTTCTTCTCAACA